GGCTACACGCTCAAACCTTTGTAAATAAGCATCGATGTTATCTCTCTGGTCATCAAAGGTGGCATCTTAGGCACATAAGTAACAAATGGTGGCTTACCTTCCTGCTTTATACCTTCACCTACAGTACCCTTCTCCCCTCTAACTGCAGCTTCTTCTCCTCTAAGTCTAACTTCATGCTCTCTAACTTCATAACCCTTTTCCTTTTCCTTGTCCTCATTCTCCAATCTAAGTTTCTCTATCTCTAGTTTCTTCATCTCCCGAACCCTTTCCCGGTCATCCCGTTCTAATCTATCCTTCTCCCTCTCCCTCTCTAAATCTGTCTGTTCCCTTACAAACTGCTGTAAATTCTCCCTGTATAACCTAACTCCTTGCCCAATTTACATATGCCCACTAAATCCATAGTGAAACTAAGCAAAGTATCTACAGGTAAAATGTATACTATCTAATACAAGGTAAGGTTTGAACAAAGGGACCCGTTATACCTCAGCACCCTACAGCCACTAGTACCAAGCAATGAAAAATGTAGAAGGAAACCAGGCGCACGACACCCAATATACGAGGCGTACCACACTCATACGAAAAGTAATTTGGAAATTACTAAATGGACCTACATATCTCACATGTGACAAAAAAATCAAATCCACCGCTGCCACCAAAATGTCACAATGCGAGATAAAACAAAGGTGGTGTTGAAATAAATATAATTTATTTCAAAACAAAATGAAATGGAAAATCAAGAAAAAGTTCAAATATTCAGCTTGCACAACCCTTCCTCACCTCAAATACATTCATCCAAACATCTCAGTCATATATCACTCAAATACACCTTCAGTACATCACTCAAATACACACTCAGTGCTCCATTACACCAGCGGTACCCAATACACTCATACTCCTATACACAATACACAAATCAAATATAGGCATACAAATGAAACATTTACAAAAAAATGTAATATTCCAGTCCATATCTAATTGACGATCGGCTCCTATACAGGAGGTTGCACAGATTAATGGTATGTACAGTTCACGTCCTCACGAACCCGGTCACACCCTGTCTGACGATACCCTGAGGCTACCCTGCCCTCCATACTTGTCACTGGACAACGTCCGGTCACAACACTGGTGAGAGGCACTGGTGAGAGGCATCGCTTAGCTGGTCAGCATACTTGGAGTTGACCCGCCACACTCAACCGGCAATACCTTGAGGCTACCCTGCCCTCCATACTTGGCGCTGGACAACGTCCGGTCACAACACTGGTGAGAGGCATCACTTCGCTGGTCAGCATGCTTGGTGTTGACCCGCCACACTCAACTAGCCAGCACACAGGCCGTCAAGCCAATACGGCCCCGACAGCCATGATAATTTTCCTGGCTCAGCTTTCACACCGTCGCTCCGCTCTATCATATCACGACTGCACCCGTCACATCAAACCGTCCACTTTTATGACTAAGTCGCAGAAACTGCCTGCTTTTCACGTGCAATATCACTTCGCACACAGCCCAACTGCACGTACACTCACTCAACCGACACATACAGTTCAACCACACTATAAGAAACATCCAACGTATATACGAGCTCAACCACATGTGATCTTGACAAAGATAATAAAATAAATGTTTATATGTACATGACATCATGAGCAGCGCTATACACAGCTTTTGAAGACGGCACGTTTCCGTAACGTCATCGAGGCTGGCCAACCATTCCGGCAGTCGTCACCACTCACCCGTTTCCGTAACCTCAACTCGGCATGTCCCGGAATAACACGAGATGGCCACGAATGCCATTCCTGTTAACCCTCGCAAAAAGCATGATCAACATGAACCAGTAAAGTCGACGGGACGGTGCTCGAGGTGGGGCGACAAGTGACTAAAATGTTCGTAAAAATATTGCGTACAGTGGACGAGGAATCCCAAATTATTACATTTGACCTATTGCTAAATGGTATTGTGGAAATTACTAAGGAAATGTAATCTCAAAATACCATACGTTATATCTGGCCACTTTCTATGCGTCGTCGGGCGAACAATTTACACAGCAGAGGCTACAAGTTGAAGGCGGCGAAGTCAGGTTGACCCTTGGCGGTAGATGGGATGGACTGGTCGGTCAGTATTCGGCCCCCCTTGTCCCTGGCTTGCTGTTCTGTCCGCGCTCTTCCCGCTGTCTGCCGGTTACCCCACTGTATCTCGTCTTCCCCTGTCCTGCCTGCTTTAAGGACTAACGACGTGTTTAGGTCAGGAATTCTCATTGGCATATTCTGGTCATTTTCAGACAAGTGTACACAACACAACATCATTCACTTCTGTGTGCATTTATTTAAGTTCTTATTCAAACACGTTGATAGTTATTCTAGGCACCTAACATATTTTCCCAGTTCTATATGGCACAACAATGTTTGCACAAATTCCAAAACAATGTCTAAATACACTTTGTTTACTTTTAGCAAACAGATGAATAAACGAATATTCTGTGATTTGTCTTACTGAAAGAAGCGATACAATTCCAAAACAATTCTCAGTGCAACATAAGGTGCTTGTAGAAAGTTTTAAGGTTCTGTTTCTGTTGTTGAGACAGAACTTAATGAATAATTGAGTTTTTCCGGAAATCTGTCATTTAACGCCAATAAACAGTCACACAGTCTCCATAAATAATACTTGATGCCAAACGTTTCCGCCTAAAACCCGAACACATCCGGCACTGACTCTATAGTTGCGACCTGGATTTAGCACAGTTCAGTTGAGTGTCTTGCAATATGGCCACAGCTACAATGAAACTAATATTTTGGTGGATCACACTGCGTATGTGTCTGTGTCATCAGTCCCCAAACCCTTTCCTGCGTCATGAAAGAATCTCATTTCAACTGGACAGCCGGACGTCCATGACCGATCTGTCAGGTCCTGTCTTCAGCCACGTCAGCAAAGTAAAGTGTACCCTGATATGTATACGTTAGCACCCTCCTCAAGGGTGATATGGATTTCAACGCTCGAGCCGTCGGGCGAAGTTGAATCCATATCACCCGCAGAGGAGTGCTAACCTACTTGCTACCACGAGGGCGCCGAATGGACTCGTACATTGCTTGTTGCACGTGCGTTTCCTGCACCGCCAAGGTTGTTATCCACATATCACCTCTGCACGTGCAGACAGGAGGTTGATACGCAGAAAATCAACCCGCCGGAACAATGGACATAACACACCCTAGTGGTATAAGCTTTGAAAACACCTCCTGCACATCTGTGTTCTACTGGAAGAGTGAGGGGAAGTGTAGAACTACTACAGCACCACAAGCACTTATTGAACAAGGTGGGCATGGCAACGCCACCATACAAGATCCAAATATACATACATATACATACATGCATGCATACATACATACATACATACATACATACATACATACATACATACATACATACATACATACATACATACATACATACATACATACATACATACATACATACATACATACATACATACATACATACACACATACATACATACATACATACATACATACATACATACATACATACATACATACATACATACATACATACATACATACATACATACATGTACATACATACAGTACTTAGAACTGCAAATATTCTTTTTCCAGTATTGTGCTTTACTGGCTATAACATCATGACCATTTACTTGTGTGTTTGGTAGCTGTCAATGAATAAAACCTGATGTTCCTACTGTATACACTGATGTCGTTTGATATATCGTTTTACTAATCATCTGCCACGCTGTAGAGATCTGGGCCGCCTCTGTCCGCCATGAATGATCACAATGATATCGAAATGATCTTGAAATAATGCCCAAGACGCCGTTCCTCAGCGTTCTCAGGTAAATCTGATTCTTTGGAAAGAGTGGTGGAACTAGTGGAGAGTGAGTGTGGTTGTAGCAATATTCCAGCAACATTCCAGCAATATCACGGCGGGGACACCAGAAATGGTCTTCACGCTTTGTAGCCATGTGGGGAATCGAACCTGGGTCTTCGGCGCGACGAGCGAACGCTTTGACCACTAGACTCCCCACCATCAGTGAACGAATGGGGATGATATATTCAATCACGTGGACAGTTCCCCTTCCGACCCTTAAACGTTCAGAAGCTCCCACTTTTCCATGACAGGACTCGTTCTGTGTCCAAGACAACAAGTACCATTAATCATGTATCTATAGAAAACGGAGCGATCGTATGGTTAACAAAAGATGTTTAAAGGGAGGTAAAGAGCTTAAGTTAAAGGGAGTTAGTACAGGTTGAACACATTTGAACCTTTCTGAACAATTATGAACACTGCAATTTATCTGTATCTTTCCGCAAACGATGTAATATATTTCCATTGAATAAAAGATGAATGTGTGTAACCCTGGACCAGCTTGTGGTCATTCAATAAACCGACCTAGTTTTAACTGTTTGACTCGTTGTATTGTTTCATTATTAAGTATTATATTCATTCCTATGTTCAGTATTTATGTCATATATTAGATGCAATAACTGTGTACGCAATCCCTTTGGAGATTGTAACACACCTCAGTTTGGTGCTAATACATTCTTTAACAAAAAACCCATCTGCCAATTTAGAAGAATTTATGGCGTTGGTTTGAGAACAATAATTATTATTTCATGTAATTTCAATGCTAAAAGGTGAAACTTCACACGTCTATTGACAAAGAGTTCGCCAACACAACAGCAGCCTTTATTGTTTTGTATTTCTGTTTCCTTGAGTCCACAAGATGGCGTCAAAGTCAGTCCTTTGTATGGCCACCATTGGCAGCAATATGGGAGTTCATCCCATAAGTGTTCTATTAGGTTTTAGACCTGGTGATCAGGAAGGCCATGGTGCTACGGTTTTAGAATTTGCCTTGACTAAAGATTTGTGAGTCTCCTTTAAACCAGCAAAATAAAAATACAGACATAGTATTCAGGTTATAGTATTCAATTATATATTGAATAAACCATGAGCAAGGTTACATTGAATGACAGTACAAATTTCTAATAATGGGTCACATACACTCAAAATCATCGATGCCTTTCTTGTGTTGAAGAATATATATATGGCTACCATGGAGTAGAGTAGTAAATGACACACATTACTTCAATACTTGTAAACCCAGATTCAAACAGATGCATTATTCATATTGTTCCCCGAAAGATCACGTCTAACCAGGTTATAATGTGACCGTTCATAATATATTCACCGAAATGTCCCACCGAACCATGCTATTATGGGGCTACCAATATTCTTCTTCCCCCTTTTTGGCAAGCGAAACCTTAGATCAACAGCATGTGTTCGTTGCTAGGCAACCTGCGGTCTGTCATGAAATAATCAGTACCAACTGATATCAGTGACAGGTATGTCTTCTCAATGATGGATGTTACACATTCCAAAGTGTAAAGTTGCACAGTATCCGTCGGTACACTTCTAACGTAGTCAATCATTCAGGTACAGAAGTATACACCTATTGGGTGAGTGAGTGAGTCTAGTTTTACGCCGCTTTTAGCAATATTCCAGGAATACCACAGAATGGGACACCAGAAATGGGCCCATGTGGGGTATCGAACCTGGGTCTTCGGAGTGACGAGCGGACGCTGGTATACAACTATTGCATATACCACACTGAATAAGTGAATAAGGTACGAGTGGTGGGCGGGGGCAGGGGATCGAGAATGGGTACACATCTATGTTTCTTGTGTGAATCAATCTAATTTGTCAGCTTATTCTTGTCTGATAATATATACATATGCATCTTCAAAACTTCAGGTCAGTTTATAAAAATGAGAGTAAATATCACACCTGAAGGCGGTGATATAACAATCGCCAAAAACTTAATTTCCTTGAAAGGACTTGACATTTGAGGACAGGAGGACATTCGGATAAAACATTAGCATCCCAACCTGCACACACTGACCTCTCTCTCCTTGCTGATCTGATTTTCTTTAGTGAATACTAGTATGTTTCAAAATGTGTCCTGGGTATATGACGACCGTGACCTCTCGGTATATCGATGATCTGATGGCGTTAGATTATGATCATATTGACGTGATTTCCCAACAAACCGAACAAAATAGAACAAGAAGAAATGCCTCATCTCGGTCATACGTACATCCATGCATGAAGATTCAGAGAGGAAACACTCTCAACAGGACTGCAGGAAAGGGGTACGACTTACCACTTTTAAGTTTTATGTCGAGCAGAATTCCAGCCCCAGCCTTTGGTTATCACATTATACACGTTTGAGGTTCAGTCAGTTTGGCAGTGAAGAATACAATCGTGTCCGTGGATATTTCCTGGTGGACTTCAATTTACTGTCCGGTGGGACAGGGATTTCAGGAACACCTGGTATCATCACTATTTGATAATGGTTCATAAACAGCATACAACTTGGTTCTAGTATTTATAAGTTTACATCTGGCAGAGATCATCAGTTCAGGTTCCCTTGATCCTGGCACAGTAGGGCAGTTTTGGCTCATCATCAGCTCAGGTTCCCTTGATCCTTGCACAGTCAGGCTTGTTGAGGCCCATCTTCAGCTCAGGGTCCCTTGATCCCCTAGCACAGTCAGGGCAGCTAGGCCCATCATCAGCTCAGGTTCCCTTGATCCCTTGATCCTGGCACAGTCAGGTTGGCTAGGCTCATCATCAGCTCAGGTTCCCTTGATCCTGGCACAGTCATCGTACCCCAATTGCGTTGATCGATGCTTATGGTGTTGATCACTGGATTGTCTGGTCCAGACTCAATTATATACATGATGCTACATATATAAAGAAAGTGATGAGAATACCGAGCGTACAGTAGTACATATATAAGAAAAAGTTTCTGAAATAATCACACGACACGGATCTCCTTCGGATCGGAGGAGATCCGTGTCGATTATTTCAGAAACTTTGTATATATAATATATATAGAGAGAGATAGAGAGATAGAGATATAGATGCAGAGAGAGAGAGAGAAAGAGAGAGAGGAGAGAGAGGGAGAGAGAGAGAGAGAAAGAGAGGAGAGAGAGAGAGACAGAGAGAGAGAGAGAGAGAGAGAGAGAGAAAAGAGAGAGAGAGAGACAGAGAGAGAGACAGAGACAGAGACAGAGAGAGAGAGAGAGAGAGGGGAGGGGGGGGGAGAGCGAGATTCCCAGTATCCCAGGTAGGTGGCTCAGGATTGGTTGCTGGTATGAGTCCCACGCCGTCATATTGCTGTCATATTGCTGTCATTCGCTGTAATCGGCGTACAACCTGACTCTCTCACGTCTTGCTGGTTGCTGGAATGTGTCCCCAGCAGTCATATTGCTGGAATATTGCTGTAAGCGGCGTACCTCACTCACTCACTTGTAGCTGATGTCTTTCTGTCCGTGTTTTCAACAGTTGTATATTTCACACCATTGTTTTATGAGTATAACAATTACACTTTTTGATATAACATTGGATATAATTTACTTGGTCTAGTAGCAATGTGGCTGAAATAACGCCGACGCATGTTCAAGGTGAATTCACTCACTCACTCTGAAAAATGGGGGTCATGACACTGGTGCATGAACCAGGGTCTAGATTTTTTAAGTTCACTTAGCGCTAAGATAGTCGTAAGTTAATGTTAATGTATGGCACTTACGACTATCTTAACGCTATGAGAGCTTCGAAAATCTAGCCCCTGGGGTTTACAAGGGGGTTTTGTGTCATAAATGATGCAACTGATTTCTTTGACTGGAGAACGGAACGATAAAAAGTATGAACGCCATAAAAACCCTTTCTAAATCTACAGGAAACCCATTCCAGGTTGGACCCATGCTTGTCATAAGAGACGACTAACGGGATCGTGTAGTCAGGCTCGCTGACTTGGTTGACACATCTCATAGTATCCCAATTGCGTAGATCGATGCTCATGCTGATGATCACTAGATTGTCTGGTACAGACTCGAATATTTACAGACAGCCACCATATAGCTGGAATAGTGCGGCGTTAAACAGCCAACCAACCAATCCTTCCAAGATGAATGTCTATTGCCGGATTCCGACTATATCATTCCATCACGGATATCATGTCCATGGATCACATCAAATAGTCTTGATATCATGTGTTCACGAATTCATATGCCATATGTCAATTCTCAAGACAACCATTATCAACGACATGTTTGACTGTAATACCTGAGAACTACCCCCAAAATGTAATCTTTTGATCCAATGAATTAAACAGTGACTACAGATTATCTGGCAACGTGATGACGCCACACGTGGTCACCACAACACCACAACGTTACTCAACATATGGATTATGTCCAATTTATTGTCTTATTAGCAGCACGTCAGGTGCCACAGTATACACGAGTATATTATCAACATGGTTTCACCACAATACGTGTATATAATTAAAGAAAACAACAACATGTTCTCCTAACAAATATACTTATTATTATGGCGGTGGTGAGGGGCTCAGTGGCTAAAGAGTCGAAGACTCGGGTTCGAGTCCCCCCACACAGGTACATTATTGTGAGCCCATTTCGGGCATGACATTGCTGGGATATTGGTAAACTGTAACACATAAAACCAATAAAACCACACTCGCTCACATAACATTACCTCGCCTTGGTCTCTCAAGTCTACCTTTATATCCCCACAGGTGAAGCCCATTTCTGGTGTCCCCGCCGTGATATTGCTGGAATATGCTAAAAAGCGCCGTAAAACCATACTCACTCACTCACTATCCCCACAGAATCCTGCCACTTGCGGCGGTGGGATAGCCCTAGTGGATTAAAGCGTTCGCCTGTCACGCCGAAGACCGGGTTCGATTCCCTACACGGGCACAATGTGTGAAGCCCATTTCTCACTCCTCACTCACTCCTGCCACTTGCCCCATCAGTTTAGTTTTGGGGCTTTTTTGACAAATCCAGCCTGTCTTCTCTTCAAAGCTAGTAGTCTTCCACTTGTAACCATTCTTTTTAACCAGCATCGCTGACCGTCCAAACTGCGGAAAATTGGCCTTCCTGGGAGCCCAGTTGGTGTACTTGGCCGACGACCTGTCCATGTACGTCCAGCCACCAAGAAGTTCATAGGACACGCCGATGAAGATCTTTTCTTGAGCTAAAAATTAAATGTCATTTTGTCTGTAAACACACTTAACATCTGAAGTTTGAAATGGATTGAAATATTTATTTATGATCACATCACGAACTTAACAAGATAATTTAAACAAAAATGAAATATTTTGTAATGTGGGAGACGAACCGTTTAGTAAAGCAGCCCCTCCCGGGCAGTATGTACGGAATGTAGTACTCGTATGAAATTCAGTTTCTACATCATTCATCTGCATCCTCTCACGCACCGGCACAGGGGGCGCCTCAAGCGCTGCACTTGTATATATGTGCACAGTATCCCGTAGGCGTGACATTAACCTGTTATTGTGGGTTCGATTCCCGCGGGCCCCGACTATAGGTTTGCAAGGACCAGATCTGTGTGTATCACGAATATTGTCAGTATCTCAGACTTATCTTATTAAAAACAAATTCCAGATCAATCCCACATGTCAGGATATGACTGAAATACTGTTCAAGGTGATTTTAAACTCTCCACTCACTCATTCAACCACCCTACTTCGCATTCACCCATCCTGCCACTCACTCAGTCAATCACTCAATCACAATCACTCAATTAATAACTCACTCAGTTACTCACTCAATCACTGAACCATCCAATCACGCACTCAATCAATGAGCCATCCAATCAGGCACTCAATTACTGAGCCATCAAATCACGCACTCAATCACTGAACCATCCACTCACCTACTCAATCACTGAACCATCCAATCACGCACTCAATCATCCACTCATCCACTCACTCACTCAGTGCTGTAGGTAAATACCAGAGTGTTCCACTAGTCTGACGGCGATGTCTTGTTTCTTCTGGCTGTCTACTTGAAAGAGGGAGGTGTCTCCTGCTAGGTTCTTACAGACGACTTCTGCCTCCTGAAAGCGCTTCTTGTCATTGTAGTAGATCAGGTACAAGTCAATTTCC